GTCCCTGGGCTCACCTTCGTAACCCGAGTGGATGCGCTCCGCAATGAGCAGGCAGCAGGGCTGGCCGTCGGAGCTGTCCGAGGGGCGCACCTTGGCCAGGTAGGGTGTGAGCCGGAAGGGGGAGTAACACAGCTCCCGCCCACGGGTGCGGCCTCCGCTGAGAAACAAACGCCTGCAATAAGACCAGAGGCCAGAGGAGACCAGGACCGACCAGCAACAAAAATCGCAGGGCCCCCTATACCCTGGCCCCCCAACAAGCCCCAGATCCCCCCATCCTGGGCACAGCTGGGAACCCAGGGCATGGAGTCCCCTTCCCAGTCCCAGAACTGACAGCTCCCTGGCTCGCAGGGGCTGCCAGGAACACGGGGTGCCCTGCCCATTCAGGTGGCACCCAAGGAAAGCCAAGGGAGCGAGGACACACACACGGGGTCAGCTTGGTTTGCCCAGATGGAGAGAGGGCTGGGCCAGGAGCAAGTCTGCCCCCAGGCGCCTGGCTCCAGGGCCGGCTGCAATATTCCACCGCAGGGCCGGCAGGGGCGAGAAGGCAGCAGCGGAAAGGCTGGGCTAAGGGGCATGAGGCAGACAGCCGCAAGGGCCGGGAGTGAGGCAAGGGGCTGGGCTCAGCACAGACCGAGGGGTGGAGGGTCAGCGGGGGCTGGAAAAGCCCTGTGCCCCTCACAGCACCAGGGAGACAACCTAGGAGTCCAGGTTCCCAGCCCCTCTCCACACTAACTGCTAGACCCTGCTCTCCTCCCTAAATAGCACCCAGGGATCCTGCCTTCCCAGCACCCTCTAACCACTAGACCCCGCTACCCTCCTGGAGCTGGGTAAAGATTCAGGAGTCCTGGCTCCCAGCCCTTTGGGTGTAATCCACAGCAGCTGCAGCTGGGGACACAGACCGAGGGGTGGAGGGTCAGCGGGGGCTGGAAAAGCCCTGTGCCCCTCACAGCACCAGGGAGACAACCTAGGAGTCCTGGTTCCCAGCCCCTCTCCACACTAACTACTAGACCCTGCTCTCCTCCCTAAATAGCACCCAGGGATCCTGCCTTCCCAGCACCCTCTAACCACTAGACCCCGCTACCCTCCTGGAGCTGGGTAAAGATTCAGGAGTCCTGGCTCCCAG